TGGCCCGAACCGACTCGACCACCTTCTGCCCTGCCTGACAGTAGGCCTTCATGGTCTTGTTGCCTTGCGGAGTGGTACCTAAATCAATCGCGAGAGAGGAGGAGAACAGGGGGAGAGAAACGTAAAGGCACATACAAGATGCGAAGGTTTACCCACGCACAAAAACCATGCAATGAAGACCGGGTCCTAGAGTAGATACTGCTGTGTACACACCAAAACGCCGCACGCAAGTCCGGCCGACGGCAGAACTCCGCCAGATATTGACATGCTACCTTCGAGATCTTTGCACAGGAGCTCGCCTAATACAGCTCCTGTTGATACCACACTAGTCTAGACTAGTCTACAGGTACATCTCACCTGTCTCATCCGTGTTGTGCACGTGGTCGGCCTCCGGCTTGAGGTCCTCGAGGAGAGCTGCCCACTTCCTGTAGAACTCTACGATGCGAGGTTCGCTCTCATCGGTGACTCTGTTGGCCTCGTAGATGCGAGTGGTGCGCTCCCTAACCCGCGGGTGCCTTTCGAGGAAGCCAGCTAGCCAATCCTTCCCCGGGCCCTTCTCTGGATCCCACGGGGTCTTGCGGTCCAGGCAGAGCAGTCTTACGGTTTCCAGCAGGTGGAGCCGACTCACAGCTAGGCAGTTACGACCAGCGTACAGCAGACAATCTTCAATCGAATTTTCCTCCTCCTCACTCATGACAGTCCCAGGACCTACTTTTGCATCCATGGCCACCTCTCCATCGAGGCGCCGTTTGAGCGAAAGCCGATCAATATCATACTGTAGACCTTAGCAGCCTTCCTAACGGACATGCCACCTCTCACGGCTTCACAAGCCTTCTGGGCTTGCTGTGCGTCCACCCTGCGGCGGCCCATGCTTATCAGCAAAATCAGCAGAAGGCCGAAGATCCGCCGCATCGGCCCCTGCGCTGCTGCTGCTGCTGTATCTCGGGGGTGAATGGTCTAATTGCCACGCTGAGGTGCTCAAACGAAAGCTCTTGGCTCTCCGCATTTTTTTGAATCCGACCTCAAGGGGCTCCGTGAATGTAGTGAGAGGTACCCCGATTTGAAAAAAAGTGGTTCTTAATACCCGGGTGGTTCTTAATACCCGCCGCTACTCAATACCGTTGGGTCCACGGGGTCAATACAGAAGTAGTAACAAAAACAGCGAAAGACGAAAAAGCACGGAGGAAACCGTAATTGGTGCCAGTAAAAATATACCGTTGAGGACTCGTGAACTCTCTCTTTTTCGGATCGATAATGTTATTTTGCAGCGGCATGATCATCATTGATGGATTGATGGGATAAATAAGCACGAGATCTCCGAAGCGTCGAAGGAGATTATGGCGGCCCAGCAGCAACTGCGTGGGGCCTCAAAGAACAGCGCCTTCGAGGCGATCCTGAGGGCGATGCTCAAGGCGGCGCGGAAGAAGCGCAGCATCGCGAGGTGGAGAGCACTGGAAACGTTCTTCGAGGGCTATGTACGGCAGCTCGAGAAGAAGAGCCGCGAGGGGGATCAGGCGGGTTTCTACAGGCACCTGAAGATGATCGACGTCGAAGGTAAGAGGTCGTTCACCTCTCAGAACATCAAGGACGAGGACGGCAAGGTCCTTCGGGACCCCACGTTTATTCGCCAACGGTGGGCAAGGTGGTTCCACAAGCTTCTCAACACCAAGTCGCCGACCATCGACCTGCATGCGGCTGACAAGGTCAAGCGGTGGCCCACGTGCGTGCCACTCGACGACATCCCATCTCTACGTGAGGTTGAGGAAGCGGTACGGGAAATGGCCAACAGAAAGGCCGTCGGGCCGGACGACCTACCGGCTGAGCTGATCAAGCTTTTCCTGGACGGAGATCAAGGTCTCCTCCGCGAATTCCACGCCATTGTCGTGGACGTGTGGCAGACTGGGGACGTACCACAGCAATGGAAGGATGCCACCATCAAAGTGCTTTTCAAGAAGGGGGACACGATGGGGTGCGGCAACTACCGGGGCATCTCTCTCGTTGTCTTATATCCAGACAGTAGTTCGTGAAGAAGGCATGATCCAAACGTCCAAGGTAATCTTACAGGACACATATTTCAACGTTCGTATCCTCACCGTTTCCTCTGCAACATCTCCTGGTGCGGTCTGTCCTGGTGCGGTCTGTCCTAGTGCGGTCTCGCGAGCGGTTTCTCTCCTGGTGCGGTCTGCCGTTGGTGCTTCCGTTCGTTCGAACACTGTCGGCGCTGCTACTCATGTCGGCGCTGCTACTCTCCGAATGCACACCGTCATCTCCTCCGCACTCTTGTGGGAGTAGATGGAGAGACATACGGCGCTTGCGTGGTGATGTTGCTGTGTTGTTTGCTGTGTTGTGTTGTGGTGTTGTGTCGTGTTTTGTGAGATTCAAATTGGGTTTGTGGGTGTGTGGTTCTGGAGGCGTTTGGAGTCGTGCAGGTTTTATTTGCACGACGGTCGTGCAAATAGCGGTTGCCACAATTCCACGTGTGTCCAATCCACCCCACTGGTCGTGGACCACGCAAAATCAGCGTGGTGCCAACACGCACAGCGACATCAAACATGCCTCTGTTGCGCGCAAACTCCCCACCAAAGCCTGTCGAATACCGCTTCCCTCCGGAGTTCATGTCCAATTCATCCCACTGGTCGTGGACCACGCGAAATTAGCGTGGTGCCAACACGCACAGCGACAATAAACATGCCTCTGTTGCGCGCAGACTCCCCACCAAAGCCTGTCGAATACCGCTTCCCTCCGGAGTTCATGTATCCCCCAACAAGCTTTTCGCGTTTTTCGCAGTCAAGGATGGGGTTGCACCATTTCCACTACCACCACCGTCACCGTCACTACTATCACTATTGGCACACCGAAAAAGCAAGCTACAGCATCCTCAGATTTCAGCAGCAAAGCAAACAAAATTTGAGCATCAAAAGCGCTACAGAATGCTCTGCTCTCTATTTAGCTGCATTGGTGCGTGTGCAGCAGCAAGCGGGTGATGAACGCTCACCGCAACCCTCGAAACACGACCGCTGTTTGCGTCTGAAAAGTTGATTGAAAGATAAAGGTGGGCAGTCCACGCCGCACGGAATGTTGAGAAGGGGCCAAGCCTACGAATAGTCTAGTAATGCACAACTAAATGAGTGTCCGAAAAACATGACACCTCGGGATCCCTAAACCTTTCACAGTAAGTGAGCACCTTTGGGTGCATTTTGTAGAGCTACACGCGAACGGCACACGCATGGGAGATGGCAGGGCTTTGGCCCATGTGCGGCGGTGAACGTCTTCCATACACCCCTCACCCAACCGCAACACCGTCGAAGACCACTGTTGTTGCTGAGCGGCGCCAATGAATCTACGAACTGCACCGAGTGTATCCTCTAAATTCGCCGGCGGATTCGCCGTTTCTCAGGAATATCAAAACAGAACACGAAAAAGGTATCTTACACGCACCTCGGACAACTGTACGCCCCATGCACACAAGGAAGAGGATCGTCAAACACGGCGATGTCAATACCAACACTAGCACCATCACCGGCACAAACAACAAGTCTTGCGGACACCAGGTGTCCGTATTTTTTCAAAACAGTGCGCTACACGAACCCCGAGAAGTCTCCTGCCACCCCCTCCCCGTCGCCGTTGCGAGCCGGCAACGGCGGCGCATCTCCACTTTTTCGCCGCTTATGTCGCACCACCGGCGCCCTGCGACATCGCCGCGCTAACAAGCTGAGCCCCACCCCGCCAAGGATGAGCGACAGCACCACAAACAGGCTCCAGCCGGTGCTGATGTTGATGTGCACGTACTCTAGCAACATCTTGCAGCCTACGAACCCTAGCACGAGCGCCACAGCGGGCTTGAGGTACGGCAGTTGGCTCACCGCCTGGGCGATGATCACGTAGATGCTCCGCAGCCCCATAATTGCGAATAAATTGCTCGTGAATACGACGAAAGGGTCCTGAACACGGACGGCCGCAAGGAAAGAGAGACGGGGCAAAAGACGGTACACGTTCTTCCGTTCATAAGACTGGCGTTTTCATTGGAAGCACTGTACCGCTAGCTGAAGTCACATGCAAAGAACCGATATCACATAAATAAGGCGTGCGCATGCTATGCAGCCAGTCACAAGAAACAAAATTAGGCTCCCTAACATCTTTCTGGCGAGAGATGGGTACGTGCCAACTACATTCCTGTTCCATGGCCCTTCCTTCCTTCTTGAGAGCGGGGTTTGACGCAAGGCCCTGCCGTACACCTGCTGGCTTCCTTTCTAGGTTCCTGGTCAATTATGGCCTAGACGGCGTTGGTAGTTCTGCCTGTAGAACCAGCTATTCATACAAGGGCTACACGTACTCTAGATGGGGTATTGTGTGACATTCTTAGCCTACAGAAACGGGCAATACACTAGACGAGAATTGCCTCTCATCAAGCGGTAGGAGGAAGTTCAAACCACATCTGCCACGAAAAATTAGCTGGGAGAAGATCGATGTGCCTCGCCTGCGAAATCCCGAGCACCGCTGGAATCGAGTCCACCGCAAACACGAAGTCCGAAAGCTCGATGCACACCAAGCAAAGCAGGAGGGGAGTGGCAACCGTCTTCCCCTTGCCCCCAAGGCGGGTGAAGAACCGATCACCGTCGTACTCGTCGACAGCCCCGACGAGCCTCCTCGACATCCTGCCGAACAAAAACCCCGAATAGGCATGTATGTACGTGGTGCACACATGTATTGCGAGAGAGCTATGTTCCATACGTACGTATTACCAGAGAGCTGTTGTACGACGGAGACGAGAGCTTGTGGCAGCTTTCGATGACGTGCCCAATAGGATACCCGTATCAACGCCGGTTGACGGGCACCCATTGCAGCGAAAGAAGGAATATCAACCGAGATGCAACGATGGGCACGAAGGTACGGAGTGAGGGAAGAAAGTCAAGCATAGGTGCAACGATGGCTCACGCCACATTTCATGGCCTTGAACTGGCGTTGGTAATGTATGTGCCAGAGTACTATCTCCCGGGTTGAGCTGGCCGCTTTCCACTGTCAGGAAGTAGTCGGTGCGCTAAGCAGACCTACTCAGGACGAAGGAAAAAAACAAGGGGCTGAATGATACAAGGCGGCAGGTCAAGGCACGCAACAGGCGCTGCCCGAAACGACCGACTGCAGAGGAGTGTGCTCACCCTTCGAGAGCTGGTTGACCAAGCGCTACGGTGTACGAAGAAAATATAATGTCACGCTTTGTACACAAACCGCGTGTGGTAGTAAATGGTAGTATGAGTGATAGAATAGGCGACTAGTTAGTGCAACAGCATGTGCGGTAGCACCCCACCTGACGAGCGTGTTTTGGCTGAGGTCGTGGTCTTCTTCCTCGCTTTCGACGAGGAGCTTGTACGACGATACCAGCAGAATCGCGGCAAACACGACCGTGATCCACTGAAACCTCTTCACCGCCGCCACGCCGAACGCTATCATCACGCCTGAACACCACCGGCACAGGTCACGGCCGTCGTAATCACAATATCATACAACCTCTAAGTAGTAGCCCTTGTTGGCATATTATGATGAGAAGTGTGATCAGGCTTTCGGTGTGAACAAAAACTAGTAGTCATGCTGGTGCACAAGCCGTGGAGGAAAACGCCGTGCGTGAGAAAAGCAAACTGCTAAATAGGAGTCTGCGCTGTAGTTGGCTCTCACACTATACGTCTTCTCACCTCTCATCAGGATGGCCCCAACGATGCCCCAAGTTAAAACTCGGCCTTGGTGCTCCAACGGCACTTGGAAGTAGTCGAACGTCATCAAAAACACGAACAGGTTGTCCACGCTTCGCAACCGATAGCCGTTGTCGACATCATAAAACAGATTCCAGGAACCGGCAGGGCAAGCACGTGCTTGATTTTGGGAGGCGGTGTGATGACTCAAGTTGGCGGTGGGAGTAGTATCCCGCTGATGACAAAAGCTGCCCGCCATGTGCATATGGAGGCTCAACCGAGCACGTTGGTACTCCAACAGAAAATACTCAAGTCCCAATGACATTCTAATGCGACGAAGATCGTCTACGTCGGCGTCTGCTGTAGATGTGGTGTTCTGAGACCCGAGGCTATCTGTCCTTCACTCACCTCGAGCAATGAAATCGACGTCGCCCATGAGTTTATGCAGCTGCTGGAAACAGCATGTCCAAGTGCATCGATGGGCTACAGCAAGTAGACCGCAACATACGAGTAGCAAAATGGAAACGAACCTGATTCCAGTCGGCGGTGCCGATTAGGCAATTGGGCGGTGGCGCATCAGAGAGTTTCGCCCGCGAGCCAGAAGTAGCGTCATAACTCTGTTTTTGGGTTTATTGAAGAGCCGGCCGCAACCTGCTACACTGTTGACAGACGATGACACATTGCATGTGCGGAGGTGTGGTCTTGCTGCCGCTATGATCGGCTGCTTCAGGAGCCCTGAGTCTACAATGTCATTTTCTATGCATACAGCTATGTACTGCCATATTCTATCCTGGTGTCTAACTGTCTAACGTCTCACGCGGGGTGCGGCGTGTGGCAGGAATAATTCCGCCGCATTTAATGTGTAGATCTGTCCGGAGTATTTAGAGACGTCTACTTCCTGTGTACTTCCGCACAACCGTTGGGCTGGCCCACCTCAGAGACTGCTCCACTAAGTAGCCAGCGAAGAACTCCAGACCCGACTGTCTCCCTCTGAACAACATCGTGGCGAGGCCGAAGCCGCAGCTCAACGCGATGGACATCACCGTGCGCTTCACTGCCATCCTGTAGGTCTTGCTCTGTTGAGGCATCGACCCGCCGTCGAGATTGTTGTGCACGGCCCGTCCCCCGTGGCTGCTCCCGCCAATGTCCGCAGCTGGTGGCTCCGCTCCAAGGTCGACATCTGTTGCTCCTATTAGACTATGCTGCCAGCCCAAGCTTGTGGAGTGCTCTAGCGGGTTGTATGCGTACGGCGCGCTCGTGACACAAATAGCTCCGGATGATGAGCTGCCGAACGCCATCTGAGCAGGTGCACACGCGCTGCTGCTGCTGCTGCTCCGATTGTCTGCGACCATGCCTTGGTCCGGCGGCAGCGCGCTGCGAACGCGAGGATAGGCGTTGCTCATCTTCGCCGCTGTTGCGCGCGGGAGCCAGGCGCGCACGTTGCCTGGTGGGTGGCGTGTGGTAAGAATACCCCTCCCCCCCCGAAATCCAAAATCCGTGGTCTGACCGTACATCGGCCCCCGTGGTTCGTATTCCTCCGCATGTGGTGGTGTCGGTTGTCGGTTCCCAAAATTTTCTCGGCCATGCATCATCGCATGTGTCACAATGCCGAGGTTGTAAATAGGTAGGTCGTTGTCGCCATCTTCGCATGAAAAGGAGTGTGTGCTTGTTATCTTACTTCTGTCGTCTTCAGGTGTACAGTGAATAAAAACGGTCTGGGCGGCAGCAAGTACCTTTACTTTCGACATCCTTGACGGTCCAACCCATGCCACGGCGCCTTTCTTACGTTTTTGTTGCACAGGCAGTCAAATAATAGTATCTAGCCCATGTGATACACATTTTCAAAAAGGCTACAACTACTACCAAATAGACAACAAGAAAATTGTGCATGCATACAGCAGTAGGTGCGCAATTTTTTTCTGTGACTCGCAAGACCTGCGAAAATTAATTGCAGGTTAATAGTACATATGACTACAAGAGAACAGAAGAAAACAGGTTATATCCTTGTGCGTTCGTGCGTGCGTGTCAATGCATGCATGCATCGTTGACATTAAAGGAAGCGGTCAAGGCAGGCCACCCTCACCGCCAATAACCCGTCACCCTATCCTGCATAGTACGTGCCTCCCCCAGAAACTCGGTGTAAAACGCCTCAGCGCAAACAGTCTGGGTTAGGGCGGTATTCCGAGCTAAAGCAGGCACGTTTTCCTGATGGATTCAGAAAGCAGCAAGAAGAAATGGGTATGCATATACAGCTCAGCAAAAATGCACAAACTTTCGATAGGTCATTGTGGCTAGGTGTGCACGATTAAGTGGGAAAATTTGAAATTGAGGGTAAATCGCATCCATCCGCGCCCCCCCCGACGAACATTCGATCCCTTCCAAATTGGATATGACATTCCTGAAACGTTTCCGAAGTCTAAAATGAACAATTAACATTGGTGCGCTACGTGCATCCCTTCAAAATTGCTTTCGATCACCCAGAGCTTTCGCTAGTGAAATCCTATCGATTTCACATCCTTGCAGGCACAAGTGATTGCCTGACCAACTCTCTGAGTGGCTCTACCCCCCCTACTTCGGACAAGCGGAAGCGATTGCCGCCACCGTCGACGCCGAAAACAAGCAAGTTCAGGAATGTGGGAGAAAAAACAAGTTCGAGACTAGTTCAAGACTAGTCCAACCCGATGGAGTTGTTTTTTTGGTATACATTTTAGACGTTTTCGACCGTCTCAAAGCGAACTACGAAGTTTCCTGAAAATCCATGCCCGCAGGGGCGGAGCCGGGTGTACCGCGGAACCCGCCTTGGACAAAAACAAATAGCACCATGGTCTCTCTGCCACCATTCGATGTACCAACCAATAAGAGACGACCTCCTTGCTCACAACAGTAAAAACGTCCAACCAACCACACCTTTTTTGAAGAAAACGGACCTAGAAACGCAACAGCAAGGAATACAAAACCGAGCACGTTCACAGCAGTTGCGCGACACTATCCAACGCGTTCTGCACACCTAAAACGATCGATCGATGGTGATCCCGCACTCTTACGCGGACGGAAGGCGAACAGCGGGACACACACAAGAACTTCACCCAACCAATTGTAATCACCAAGGGATGAAGCTGTGCTCGCATACAAAGACCGCGTCACCCGCCACGCTTGCACCATTGGCCTTGTGCATCAGCAATCGCCGCTTGAGCTCCACGAAGCTCTCGGCTCCGGTGACGCTCGACAACACCTCCGGGATCAAGCGGGCGGGGCAATCGCTCAGGGCGGCTTGCGCCGCGCGGGCCGCTTCCCCCGACAGCGCCGGGGGCTCATCCAACCGGCTAAGCTGGAACAGGCCAGCGTTCGCCAATGTGTACGACACAGTCTCCATTGCGCCTCCCACTCCGCTGCCCCCCGCGGGCTCCAGGTACAGCTCCCAGAACACCGGGTGGGCGAGCTTACAGCGCGCGCAGGGCGGTATGGGCTTGGGCAGGCCAAGCGAAAACACCGGCGAAGACGACGGCGGCGGGCCAGCCACAGGTGGCCGCTGGAGCGCGGTCAGACCGCTAAGCGCCAGAGATCGCACCTGTCGCCACGGCGCCCCGTAGGACTGAGCCAGCGCAACGAGGTCCAGCGTGTCGGCGAGCGTGAGGAGACGGTCCAAGCGGCGGTCTCTCGCCGCGCTGCCGCCGGTGCCGGGAGCCGGCTTGTCCCCGACGGCGGCGGCGGCGGCGGCCGGCAGCGCGCGGTCGACGTCGGCCGCGAGGACGCCAGCGTACGCCTCGAGCCAGTGCAACAGGTCGCGCGTGACCTTGTGCACGCCCAGCTCCACGAACACGCTCGCCAGGGCGTCCTCGTCCGCGAGCAAGGCGGATCCCCGCTCTCGCCACGCCTCGGCCTTGGCCTCGTCCCCGAGGCACGCGGACGTCCCGTCTTGGTACCTAGCCTCTCGCGCCATTGCGACGCCGTCTCGAATGTGGCAGCCTACGGCCGTCTTGCTGTCTCGGCTTATGACCGGGAATATCTGCCCCTCTCCGACGGCGTTGAAAGCCAACGCGACGGCCGACCGCACGCCTTTCACGTCTGTGGCGCGCGCGGCCAGCTCCCACAGTCTCTCAGAGAAGTCGAGGTCACCTCTGACCTTCTCCGGTACCTCCTGCATGCCCGATCCGACCTCTTCCTCTCCCAAACCGCCGCCGTCGGTACGGTCTTGAACCGCAGTGTCCTCCTCAGCTCTACCCGCTTCCAACGCGTCGTCGCTACCCCCGCCCCCGACCGGCACATCGACCGGCTTCGCCGCGAACTCCGCCATGTTCTCGGACCCGCTAAGCAGCGCTTGAAGATCTTCATCCCACCGCCTCCGCTCCTGCTCCTCCCCGTCCCCAGGAGCACAGGTACCGCCTGGAAGTGCTTCGTCGCGACCGGTGTCTCCCCTCCCGCCCCCAAACGGGCCTTTCGTTTTCCGCCGTGTCTGCTGCGGCGCCACCCCCCTCTCCACAGCCGTCTTGAGGACATCGATATCCCCCCGGATCTTGGCGCTCACCGTAGTTGGAGGGCACTCCCCGCCAATGAGAAGGAGGGAGGAGCACGCGGGAGGCGGAGCCGACCCAAGGGTCCGCGTGGCGTGGGTCGAGCAGTCCCACTCCGTGGCAAGACGGGCGAAGGGGCTCAACTTGGCGCCCTCTTGCAGGCACTCGCCAAGGAAGTCGCCGCTCGAGTCACCCCACAGGTCGTACAGCGCGCGAGCGGAGGCGTGAGCGCGGCCCCCGTACTCGCGCACCAAGTCGTCGATCCTGAGGGCCTGCGCCCGCCCCCCGGCCGCTTCCTGCTCGCTATCTCGCCGGAAGGAGAACGAGCTGTGGCCCTCGGGCGTCGCCCTCTGCCCGAGAAAGCACAGGCCGTCGGGGGCCCCGGACACCCCGACGACGACCGTCGGCAGCGTCCGTGACTCGCCCTCGGCCGGCGGCGGGGTCAGCCCCGCCAGGATCATCCGAGCACGCGTCGCCGTGAACGCCCGCAGCAGGTTGCTGTCGACGACGGCGGAGTAGGAGGACGGGGAGATGGCCCGCAGGGCAGGGGCCACCCCCACGCCTCCCGCCGCGGCCGCTCTGCCTCCCGGCCCAGGGCTGTGGGTCGTGACCGAGGGCGGGCGCACCACGACGTGCTGAAGGGCGGAGCGCACGGCTGAGGCAGCTTCGCCGGCGGTGGGCGCTTTGGTCAAGCAGGAGAGGATGATGACGTCGCTCTCGGACGCCATTCCCTGCTCCGCAACAGCGTGGGCCAGGGGCGACAGTTAGGCCTGCAAAATGCTGATTTATCGGGACTAATATTGTACGGCCACGCTGAGCATGACCTCCTAGGATGCACAGAGTTTAAGGAGGGTCTAAATTTGGAGAGAGTCGACACTATAATAGCTATACTCGGTAGCCTTGGTGAGGTGCTGTTGGTTGATTCAGTCGGAGACTGATGATGATGATGTGGATACATCGGTTACGGTACAGAGGCTCCGCATTTCGTTGTTCAGGAGAAAAACTGCTGCTACGTACAGCGCAGCAGCTTCATGCACCCAATCTTCAAGCCTGAAAGCTGTAGCCCATTCGCAACCTTGTCAACGTCATCAATGCCACGTTTCGTTTCCTTGCGAGAAACAGGCGGAAATTGTATACATAGCCGTGGGTCTGCTTGCGCGTTTTTCCACGTCACCAGTTGCCCCGGGAAACGCTTCGGTTCCCCGAGCTCGATCGCTTGAGTTCCCCCCCGAGGCGGAGGGTGCCAACACCGAGCAACATCTCCAGAATTATTGACAACTTGGGTTAGGCTCGTCATGCCGTGAAGATATCTACTTGTACAAGCGGCCAGGGGCAGGCGTAATAGCGAAAAACCCACGTCTTGCGAAGTGAGATTACGTACTTCGTACGCCAAAAGAAGTAGACCTGAATCGCAGAAGTGAGCATCACCCATGCAATCCTCAAGGAAAGTGGTATGTTGGAGTTGGACTGAGAATACAGCATGGAGCATGGAGCATGGAGCATCAAGAGAAAGGATCCGAAGGACATTGATCATTATTCTTCTCTTTTAGTGTCCGCACAGCAAGCGGGGCGATTTCGTGCGAATGTCATGTTGAGAGTTTACAGAGTAGTCCAAGTTCTATGCACTGATTCGTTCGTAGGCACAAAAGCTGTAAACGCATGTTGGATGGTACCGGCGGCAGGAACCGTTGTCCACTGTCCAGCGCTGCCTGTCGACGGCACGGCGGTGTACTTCACATCAACTGCTGCTGCTGCACGCGGAGGGTATCAAAAACCTAACGGTTTCTCGATTTCTCCGCCGCCCGCGTATCACCCCTTCAATTCTTCAAGCAGTACCTTCAACGCCTTGACAGGATGGTAAGTCTCTGGTCCCGCCCGTATGGCCACAACATCCCCCGCGATAGCCACTTGCCCATCCTCCAACGCGCTGAGCACAGCAACGAGCGGCGCATCCTCGTCTGCAACCTGTTTCGAGGGGGATGGCTCACTGCTTACGGCGCCACTCGGCCAATGTACAGCTCGGTTTGGGTCGAAGTTCTCGTCCATAGTGGTGCTCCTCGAGCTTTATCGTCTGCCTGTATATCTCTCTCAGCTCGCCTTGCTTGCACTCACTGCAGCTCACGCACTACACTGCTGTGGAGCAGTCGTTTTTCGCTACGATACGTGTCTGGCGGGGGGTCCGTGAAATCAGAGACCCCCCCTCTACAATAAATTGTCCAACGTCAATAATTGTTATTGTTGCCCCGCTTTGCGCTGCTCCCTGGCACTCCCCACGCACACTGCACGGTTGCTCCCCGCGAAGGGACAACCATCTCCAACGGCACTGAGCTGTGACTTCTTGAGGCTGACTTGATAATATGGATGGTCGCCATGAGCAAGGTCTCGTGGCGTGGGCAAACACGTTCAGCTCTTCCTTCCCAGAAGGGGCAGCACCGGCAGCCTCTTTGGCGCACTTCACCAACGGCGATGCTCTCATCCCGATCGCCCGCACTATCTTAGGCGACAACCACGATGACCACGACAGCGATGGGCAAGCAACCGCTTCTGGGTGGGCCGGCGTCATCTCGTATCTGCATTCGGCCGATTTGATCGAGAAAGATCTTCAAGTCCCCACCGAGGAAGACAGCAAGAGAGACATGGCAGTTACGTGTCTGGAGGCCTTGTTGCACCACACTTGCCAAGACACTTGCGCCGGCCGGGCGACCTTCATCCGCCAAATCATGTCCCTCGACACCGACGTGCAGAGCGTTCTGAGGCATGTCGTGGCCGGCGAGGAGCCGTTGGACGAAGACGGCGACGCGAGTAGCTCTGAAGCCGGCTCGCCTTACAGGGATGACCGCGATGGCGGCGCCAGCAGAAGCTTCGCGGGATCCCCCGCCGCGATCGCGGCGGCACACCTCTCTCCTGGCAGCGGCGCCAGCCGCAGGCGCCGCACTAGCATCACCACCAGCGGGTCGTCCTACGACAGCAGCCACTCTGACGAAGAAGACGGACTGGGATTGGAGAGCTGGTACTCGCCGCACCCAAGGAGGAGCGCCCGCCGGAAGTCAAAGGTCCCGACAGGGGGCGGGACGGGGGGACGCGCGGCGCGGGTGGGGCCCAGGCCGCCGCGCCAGGGGCGCACCCTGGACATGGAAGAAGCCGAAGAAGCTCTTGTCGGAGCGACCGCGACCTCTGCTACACCGTTACCCCCTCCTGCACCACCTGCGAGTTGCCCGGCCGGCTGGACTGTTACTGCCGTGGAGGTGAGGGTGGACAGCCGCTGCTAGTAGTGCCGATATTTGGATGCCGTTCAGGGTATAAGCTTGTATGTGTAGAATACTTTGTTTTCCCGTTCCCTGCAATACATTGGCGTACCTGTTTTACACCTCTCAGTAGTTTGGACGCAACGCCCGGGGTCACACATGATTTTTTTTATTTGTACTTAGGTCTAGCGTACCTCGGTGGAGTAGCGAACAATTTCGGCGACGCTTTGCTGAAAAGAACGCGGTTCAGACCGAAACATTCTTGTCTGTCGGTCGTTCAACAACAAGCAATCGGCGACTTCAAACTCCCATCCGCAACCTACGGGGATGGGTGCAACAGCGGAATAGCAGCGGTTACACACAGAAGAGGGGATAATACGAGTCATTAGAGCTACGCAGCAGGGGATGCCGCTCTATCACGACGCCACATTTACGTTTGGAGGCAGGTTTGATACATTCGTGCAACGTTGAATGGTATGGGCGTGAGTGCGCGCATGCAGACACCGCGAAAGTCAACGGAACGCGCACCACCCCCTCGACAAAACGAAACTGCAGGTTGTCGACCTCAAGGCCGAGGTGTCGCGACTGAAAGACCAGCTCGAACGCGCCGCCGCCGCCCGCGCGGAAGCGGTATCAGTCGTCGAAGCCCAGCGCGACGCGGCCGCCGAAAGGGCTGAAGAGCTGCGGGAGGACCTCTGGAAGGCCCGGCAGGCGGCAGAGAGGGTGACAATCTCCGAGGAGGACGCCGTGATCGCGGTGGAAAGGGAGGTGCGAGCGGAGTTCGAGAAGGAGATGGCCGTGTTGAAGGAGAGGGCTACCGAGGCCGAAGAGAGGGTGAGAGAAACTGCATGGTACTTTCTTTTTCGTGTGTCGCTTCGGACTCCTGGTCGAATGTCTGCCTCCTCTCCTTGTTCAAAGCGGGGGCGCCTGTATTCAGGGATGGCCTGGCGTATTCAGGGATGGTGTGGCAGACCCATGTATGTACCTCCTACGCGTTGGGATTGCTTGTGTTGAGGCGTGCTTTGGGGTTGCCGAAACGTTGGAACGATACCGAAATGGCACCACCTTCTACAGTGTTGCCCCGCCCCAAGCATGCGCCCGTACAGCAGTGTTGGTAGTGCTCCATCTCGCTTGCCCTGTAGACGCTGGTCCCTCCGCCGGTTCAACGGATTTCGCGACAGCCGGGCGGGTAGCGTATCCACCTACCCCCGTCTTGCGTTCCCCTCCCCCTGTCCAGCCGTATCTCATGAACAGACATCGTCACAACACCTCACAAGGAGCTTGAACATGATGCTTTTCTCGTCACCTGTGTTCGATCATCCGGATTGTGGCCGTAGATGCGCGCCGCCACATTTCGATGCTGATTTACGTCACCCGAGAAGGAAGCTTCTGTCTGATAAGTTTGTCGTACCGTGTGGCGAGGTCGCCATGTCGCCCTCGCTATCTCCAACTCGGCGCCGCTAGTTCATGCTGGCTGAAACGAGCCTCATCTAGAACTCTGGGGGTTCCTAAAAACAGCAGTGGTTAGCCCTGACGTGTGTGGTGGAATATTTCATGGTAGCCCAGCGTGGCAGCGATGATTCCCTGGGGTGTTTTTTTTCCTGAGGTAGTCGCAGGCACGATACGAGCAGGTGTGCTAACGCTTTCGCGCACAGCCACCGAACAGTCCCCCCCCGTATTGGCAAATGCGCAAGAAACAACTATTTTAGCCTAATATGAGAAGCAACAGTCTTGTATACCGCAAAGTGCGCGCACGATGCATGCGTGCGGTAAAAGTGGGGTTTTACCTCTGGTAACATTTCACCTGGCCGACGTTTCCGATACGGTGTAGGCGTCGGCTTTGGAGTCGTTCGAGGAGGAGGTCCTGCGCTTGCGAGACGACGTGGACATCCTCAGGCCCGCCGAGGCGAAGCTTTCTAAGCTGGAGGACACCCTCTCAAAGTGAACGGGTGCTGTGGAAGTGTGGTACTGGGTGTGCTTGAACGGATTCATGGTTGTGCGATTACTGTGATTGTTGAGCAGAAAGCGAGAGGTCATTCGCGAAAACAAATAAGCGCGGTTTCACGTTGGGGTGAAGGGTGCGTCTTGCAAAGATTTTTCTAGCAGCTGCAACGCACAGGGCAAGCTTGTCTGTTGTACAGTACACAGGTGAAATGGTGAGATGGTCCGCAGCATGTCTAAGGCAGCTATGATGCTGCTGGAGCATACTTTCGGCGCACTTTCTCGGACAGGCTAAAGGCATCCCTGGGTCGGCGAGATTAAACCCTGCTTTTTACTTTTTTCGTTCCGTGGATGCGGCGGTTGTGGTACCTAACTTCGCATTCGCGTGCCCCCCTCAAGCCGTCAATCTGTTTGTTCTTTTGTCTCTGACGGTAATATCGTGCCCATCCCTTTCAGCGCACTATACCGACGGATGCCACCTGCCACGAGGCTCCCAGTGTGCCATTCGATTGCTCTCGTGTCGCCTCGTCTTGACCGCTTTTGCTCGACGACAAAAATGAAAACAAGGTACCGCGAGAAGATCGAGGAGCTGAGTGGCTTGCCGGGCCAGCTCAAGAGAGAAGAGAAGGCGCACGCTGAGGTAAGTGAGTGTTCAATCACGGGGAGCAAGGTTCAAGGTTGGCGTTGCCCAGCGGTCTGCTGCTGTTGGATTGCGTGCCGTCTAGGCCGCGGCTAGAAAGTTGCGATCTGCTGACAATCATCGTCCTGAAAAACATCGTCAGCTGTTTGCGGCGCTGAGGCTCTGCCCAACTCGCCTCTCCTGTCCACGATCAGCATATTGTGGTCCCTGCTACGTACTGTATTGAAGTGTCTTAGTATTTAGCACCACGTAGGCTACGCACCACTCCGGGACGGTGTTTTTCCAGGGGTCCTTTCCATGTCATCGCGCTGCAAATGGCGTCTTTTCGTTGTCTAGTTTCACCACCGGGGTGACTCGCACACATGTTCACGTCCTTGTCAACTTACGGCTGGGTCTACCGCGTGCGTGATGCGAGTTGCGAGTATTGCTCTGCACGTGTTTACCTCTCGGTCCTTCTTTTTTCTCTTGAATGCGCTTCTACGCATGCTCTCCCGGAACATCGCATTTGACCTCTCCGGGCCACCGATTGGGGCGTCTTTTGCGTAGCCTCTCACTTTGTAGCACACCCTCCACGCTATGCCACTGGCTCTTTTGGTACAACTCCCGCGTCGACGACCAGGTGCTCGATCGCTGCCTGAGGCTGGAGACCGAAGTGACCCAGATCCCCCAGCTGAGGCGACAGGTGGGTCAATACCGCCGCTCCCAGACGGACATGGAGGTGGCCAGCCGCGAACAGGTGGGTGCTTGCGGTTGTGTGGGTCTTCCCCATCCTTCCCGTAGCCGCAGCCTAGCATGTGTGTGCGTGTTCGTCCCATCTATTCCGGCGCGAGTCTTGGGCAGGCCAACAGAACAGCGAGGCACCTCGACAAGACCGTACCAGATCTCTGAAACAAGGACTTTTCCTGACACTGGCACGTGCATGCACCACATCAATACGTACCCGCTCCCGACCAAGTCGCCGGAGCTCACTGGAGATAGGACCGCGAGAAGCCATACGTGGAGAGAAGTCGTCCTCCAAACTCGTTTTTCTGATATTTTTCTTTCTGCGCAATGGCAGAATGTACGTGGCTATGCAAGAACAGTGTTGTTATGCCGCGGTTTTTTTGTTATTATATTTGTCGGCCTTTTCCGGCACCGCCGCCACTACAACCCACCACCGTCACGTACGAAGGCATCTCCGAGTAGCTATAGTCCTGACAAGTCCTTCCTGCAGAAGAAAGAATTGAAGGGAAACGAGGGCGTGCGGCGTTCTGGGTAGGGAAAACGACGTTGGAAAAGTACCGACCCAGTAATCAGGCTTTTTTCCGATGTGCATTCCGGGCAAGCGGTTTGGCGCACTTACACCCACCTGGCGCCACCCTGGGTCTACGTGAGCTGCTGAAACAAGACCATGCAGTACTTTACACATCCTACAAGACGCTGTATACTAGTTTTCCGCGATTATTTTGCGGTCTGTGCTTGTTGCGAGGGTCACACGACACGCTGACTTGGAGACAGATCTGGTTGAACAGACGGGTTTGGAGGACGCATCAGTATATGACGCTGGGCCGTGCAACTTGAACCAAACGATGAGTACACAAGCTGGTGTCGTCGGCTTTCTGTAGCATCCACGACATTAGGTGTTCGTCGCTTGTGGGTGGAGATATCGACGAACATGAAAGGTGGATCTGGGCCCTCTTCCGAGTCTACTACTAAGAGAAACTACTCCAGTTGCTCCGTAATCCGAACACATCACAAGGGCGGCGGAAGGGAGGGAAAAAAAAAACGAAAGGAATAGCGAGACAGACAGGAGAGAAGTTTGGGGCCTGACATCTACCGAAACAAGGAAGAATCCTTGTGTCTCCCACCTGGTGCAGGCACCCTGTACGTGGTACCTGGTGTTCAAGCTCTGTGGCTGAGGATATCTACCAAGAACAGCGTACCAATCGAGGCGTGTAATTTGGCCCTATTGTTTGGTGATGGTTCGCAAGGCGTTATGGTTTTTGGGGACACCGGTCCCGGACAGCAATTAAAAAAAAATCACGTCATAACAATACTGAGAAACGTTGGTGACGATAACGTACGACCCGATGATGCCCCCCCCCACCTTCCCATTACTGGGTCCCTATTCGTCCTGTTTTTGTCTGCCGCGATCTACGCGTTCTCCGAACACACCCACGCAGTCGCGGGAGCTCGAGACGGCCCGGGAGGAATCGGCGCGGCTGTCGCAAGAGGTTAAAGATCTCAGGGAAAGTTATGAGGCCGCGAGGGGCGAGCAGCGGAGGCTCCAGGAGAGGTGGACCGCCAGGGACACGGAGGGGTCCGACGATGAATGGGCCGGGGGGGGCATCGGGGAAGGTGGGCATGGGTTCCTTGGAGCAGAGCTGCTTGGTGGTGTTTTCGCAGGCCAAGCTGTCGTAGGTGCTTTGCTTTCGTCGCGGGAGTGGCGCTTTTGGGACCGACGTTCGAATCGTGGGGGGTTACGTGCCCCCGCGGTTGGTGTCGTCACTGCTGGCAAGTAGTAGTAGGGAGTGGTTCCGTCACGTGTGCTATTCCATTCCAGCCATAGGACTGATTCAAGAATGGTGCCTTCGTATGTTCAAACTGGTTCTGAACAGGTCAATCACAGTTTCTTGTGTTGGTTCTCAAGGGAATGACACCAGTTGCAGAATACGTAGCAAGCCGCTCGTCGTGGATTTGGAAATGGAACCGAGAGTGAAAGATGTTGTGTGCGCGGTCTTGGTGGGTTCGCGGACACGACTGCGCTAGGGTAAGGTTTCGACACGACCATACGTACTCGAAGCTTGTTGTGGATGGTGCGGTGCGGTTCAAGGCGTCCTCTCTGCCCATGCTGAAACAGGTATCTCGGAGTTTAACCCGGAGCTGATGGAGGAAATGGCAAGGCTTCGACTTGCTAACGAGCAGCTGAAGGCTAAGGTGTGTACAATGCACTGACACGGGTACAATTGTAGTGCCTGGCCGATGACGGTCCAGCTTCTCGCTGTTCCAGTGGGCCTACTCCCACACATGGGTCTGTTTCGTTGCTGCTGCTGTCCGGCTGGCTTGTGTTGATAGAAGTTAGGTTAGGCACGTGCGCCGAAGCAACGGGGAAGGTTGCAGGTGTAGTTGATTCGGTGCTCAAGTCGCTATCTCTCCCTCTTGTTTTCTGAATCGGTCGACAACACCCGACCCTCGTGCCCCTCCCCACCCCGCCCACATAGCCACCCCATGCACGACTACATACTCCTCTGCACACCTCTACGCTCCCCACCCCTACCCCCACAGCCTGCACGACAACGTATATTCTCTGCATCTCATTTCCGCCCCCCCTACCCAAACAACCACCGCCTGCACTACAAAACAATTCCTCCACATGTACAACTCCTCTGCGCACCCACTTACGTCGCCCACACCGCGCGCGCGGGGCGGACGCGCCCTCAGGTGGACTACAACACCGAGGAGACCATCCTGGACCTGGAGCGGAAAGCCGGGGACGCCAGCCGTCTAGCGGACAAGTTCCATGACAGCCTGGCCTCGGAGCGGGAGGTCCGCGCCGCCGCTGAGCTTTCACTCGCCGAAGCTCGGGCTCGCATCGCCGACCTCGAGTCCCAGATCGTCGCCCTGCGGGAAGAGCACCTGGCGACGGTCACCCGCCTGGAGGGGGAGTCTGAGCGGCGGGAGGAGGGGCTACGGGGAGAGATGGCGGCGGCGGCGGGAGCGGCGGCGGCGGCGGCGGCGCGAGTGGAAGAGGAGAGGAGCGGGGAGAGGGCGGAGTTCCGCGAAGCAGCGGCGAGGGAGGGGGAGCGAGCGGCCGCCGAGCTTGCGGCAGCCCGGGAGGCACACGAGAAGGAGAAGGGGGAGTCGGCGAGGAAGGAAGAGGAGGCCGCCAGGGAGCTCGCGGACGCGAGGCTGGCTTTCGAGAGCCGGGTAGCGGAGGTCGAGAAGGAGCTGGAGGGTAAGCTGCAGGAGGAGAGGAGGTTGGCCGCGGAGGAATTGGCGGTGGCTAGGGAGAGGACGGCGGAGGAGGAGAAGGGGCGTTCGGAGGAGGCGCGGATGAAGGTGCTGGCAGGGGGGGGGGTCCGGGATTTGTGAGGGGGTTTCCTCTTTGAGGCTTTTTTTGGGAGGGGGGATCATGCCGCGAAGGCGTTCATTTTTTGGTCAACTGCCACGGGGGGGTTATGACGGGCGTAGGGGTTGTTCAAGAGGAGCCGACATAACGCTGAAAGCTACTGGCATCAGCTTTCTCGAGGGCCGGAAGCCACACGTTACCACCCACACTTTTTTGTGCCCTGTGAGATTCAGTGGGCTCCTTCCTATCAAGGACGCACTGACCCCCTTGTCCCTGTTGCACGTGAACGCCTGTCTACATGGTGAATCTAGGAGGAGGCCGAGCGACAGTTGCGAGAGCTGGCGGAGAAGTTTTCAACGGGTAAGCAAGAGGCTCTGAAGGCCATCGGCCGCCTCGAGACCAACGCTCGCGACCAGAGGGAGGAGTCGGCGTTGCTGCTGCAGGAGCAGATGGCGGATCACGAAGCGAAGATGGCTGCTTTGTCCGGCGAGGTGCGTATACGTACGTCGTGGGACCTTGGACTTGTTGTACTTAAATAGCAAACGATTTCATGAACTCTGTCTGCCGGGAGGGGGGGGAAGGGTTCGCACTATTGAAGGCGCTTATTCGCGATGTGCTTTGAGGTTGACTGATCGTCATCTACTTCCCGGATGTCGCTGCTGTTCTTTCCGGTCAGTTCGCCAGGTACCGCGAGACCCACACGGTGGACGACATTTCGTACAACCAAGACGTAGACCAATGGGAGATGAGCATCGCCACCAAGAAGAAGATGATCGGAGATCTCCAGGGTCAACTGCGCGCCTTAGAGAAGGTGAAAAAAGAAATATCGGCATGAACAAAGTGCGCAATGTATGGTCTAGGTTCCCTCAAGGTTGATAGTGTTTTTTCGTGCAATACCCCGTGCCGTCGATTTTTTGGGGGGGTAACGCATACTTGTTGGGAATACATAACATGTGTGTGCATGTTTCGATGGAACGTGAGGGAGAGATAATGCTATTCGCGGTGCGGTGCCAGATTCTGTGTACTGTTAGAGATAGGGTTCGTTGGCTCATCCGCACGCACGAAGGTGGATTAATTCATCGAACCACACGGACCCGTTCTGTTGTGCCGGATCATGTTGACCGATCGACCTTCCACAGGACAAGCGCAAGCTCGAGCGCGAGAAGACTTTCTACTGGGGACGGGCGGAGGAGCTCAGGATGTCCGCGGCCGCGGGGGGTAGGGCGGACCCCTCCAGAGACGCCGATCACTTGCAGCTGGTCGAGCAGACGAGGGAGCTTATCGAGGAGAACCGCGAGCTGAGGCAGAGGGCGCAGGTGCCTAATTAGATCCCACGACCTGCGTGGGTTTTTATCTGACGTTTTCTATCCCGAGGGTGCCCGTAGAATCATTTTACTGCACACTTAGGGTACCCCCAGAGGGCCTGGACGGGGTGGGGTGGGTACTCTAAAACCAAGTGGAATATGATGATTTTTTAGGGCTGCCTTTCTCTCTCTCTCTTTTTTTCTTGGTGGGGGGCTTTGGTCGTTGCCAGGAAAGGCGGCATGCACGCCACGGTGGCACACGTGAAGATGGGGGATTCGTGTTTCCAAAGACGTTCTGTTTTCATCGCAGCAGAATACTCTACCGTGTGTGACCACGGTTTGGAGCATGCGGCACGAAAGCTGTAAACGCAAATTTGTAGGCATGACAAAGAAGCAAACAAACAATAAAACACCTTAGGTGGACAATAATATACCACACTCCTTGGATCTATTTTCAAAGCTCGAACACAGCACGACCAAGAGCAAGAGGATGGTTGAGTGAAACGACGCGCTTCCGGGAAGACCTCGACGAGACGGCTCTAACGCCCCCGTGTTCGACACCGCCACTCTTTTTGCTGCGGAGAGAACAAGCTGCGAAAATCAGTCCAGGAGAGTTTGATATCTCACGTCATGTCACCCACCATGGTCATGGCGATCGATCCGTGTGGTTCGCCCGCCCGCAAGCTGGACCTGATCGGCACTGAAAGTGTGTCGTTGTTGTTGCTCCGCTCGTAAGTATTCCATCCCTGACCCCTCCCCTATTCTCGCCTTGCAGGATAATAGCGATGGCGGTGGTGCGATGAGCACGCGCAGTGGTGGAAGGTGGGGAAGCAGCGGCGTGGCGGCGATGAGGGCGGAGCACGAGGCCGAGATGACCGCGCTCAAGGAGGAGAAGCAGGACCTGCTGCTCAAGTACCACGCCACCTCCGCCAAACTCAACGAGGAGCAGCAGCGGTGCGCCGAGCTGAACGGGGAGGTCGAGGAGGCCCGCGCCCAGTTCGTCTCGCTGCAGGTGCGTGGGTCAAGCATTTTCATGGGGGGTGGGAGGGGGCGACACTGGTAGGGCCCACTTGTTTCATGTCGTTTTCACTTGTGTTTGTAATTCATTCCTTCGGGGAAACTGTTGTCCTTAGTTCCGTTACGCTCATTCTCGGGTGCAATGTGGTGGCCCGGAGTCCCTTTGTTTTACTGGCGACCGTTCGCTCAAGAAGCAAAGCTATTGTACCTGCTGTAGCAAATCATATTTACTCAAGGGCTCCGGGCGCCACCGGCGCCCTCGTCGTCATGATCGCCCTGGAATCTGTTTTGGTTTCATTCGCTATGAAGTCCACGATGGTGATGAGGAAAGGTAATGGTGGAGGATGTGCGTTTTGTACGCGTCATGCCAAGCCTTGGGCACCAACTCGGAGAGGAGTCTTTGGTTGAAGACAGAGGGCTAAGAACGCCTAGAGTAACGGGCACAATGCAGCTGAAGAATGGTGTTTGTTGTCCCCAATCATATAGGATACTCGTGTATTTTTCACATGTATGCTATGTGCAACTGAGTACGGATTCTACGAATATTTTGCCTTCTCCCGCCCCCCTCTAGCTGCACTGGGACATAGGAAGTAGGTTGAAAAGGCGGGAATTGATATCGATAGGACAGATGGGCTAGGGGAAACATCTTTTAGCCACCTTTGGCAAAGTAGGAACGAAAAAACGAACGATTGGCCATCGTTGATCGGTCCTGTGGGAGCAATACTCCGTTCTCTCAAGTACGCGAGGTCAATGGTCTAATGGCTAAGGCATGCAAAACATAGGAGTACCCCCCCCCCCCCCCCCCCCCCCCCCCCTTCCACCCTATGAAAGATGTCGGAGCCTGCACCCCCCCTCAAAACACGGCAACCTGGTGTACACAGCAACATGTATGTCTACGGAGACGTGGTGTAACCTGATGGGGAATACACAGTGCTCGCGGCGCGTACGCTCAACGAAGATTCGTGGCGCGCCTCTCTCCTTGTTCTTCTTCCTGCTTGTGGTCTTGATTCGTTGTGGTGGCAACGAGCAAACTCCCGTTTGCTGTCTTTTGTGTTGCTGAGCTTGAGGAGACCGGAACGAATCGAAAAAAAATCGGGCAGGGGCAAGGCCACAATCGTGGGGGCTTCAAAAACTGAATTGAATGAGGATTGGGTGGGTGCCACTCAGTTCTGGATAGGTTCCGACAGAAAGAATGTTTGCAACATGACGGAATTCGAACATATTGTGGTGATATTTTCAAACATAGACTACATACGTACATGTTGTATTGTTAGAACCATCACGCGAATGCTATGTAAGGTTCAAGGGACTATGTGTGTGACTCATCATTCACAGAAAGATTGCAGAGACATTGCGACAGAAGGAACGCCATTTGAAACCGATGCTCCGCACCACCGCTTCTAGCGTAACGATTGTAATAACTTTTGCGTAGTTTTCTTAGTCGTTCTGTCACTCGACTCACCTTTGAAGTCTCGAGCTCGCGACAGGGGCGTTGTGATCGAGAGACTGACACGCTCAAGTGGGCGAAGACCGGCGAAAACGAAGTCGAAAGGCGACTGCAGACTGGTGTACCGCACGAAAACGTCTCGCTTGTAGAGCGCAATAATCGTTGATTTCTTGCATCTCAGAACTTGGGCATAGTGTTGTGTCTGTCAACTCCACCCTTCGCTTCCATCTTATACAACCGTTGAAAACTTTCTCTCGCAGCTGGTGAACAAGAGGCAGGAGAAGAAGCTCCAAGACTCTATCGCGACTTCCGCTCGGATGACATCACCGGCAACCGGCAGCAGCAGCAGCATCGACGACGACCCCTCCACCCAGAAGGAGAACCGAGCAGCGGTTCGCCGGCCTTCATCGTCTTCGTCATCGGCACGCCACCTCCGGAGCCGGGCTGGCCGGGGAGGATCCAAGGACAAGGGCGTCGAGCTGAGCCTCAAGGGCGTTGAAGGTGGGGGTTCCACCAAAGGAGGCTACGACGGTAGCGGGGCCGCCGGCGCTGCGCCCGGCGGACGGGGGCCACTTCGCGGCCTGGGCAATGCGAGGCTGCAGGAGGAGGCACTGGTGTTGGACAACAAAAAGGCGGTGTTGGACAAGGAAGCGGGGGTGTTGGCGCGGGTTGGGCGGGTAGATGAGGATACTCCGCCGGAGTGTGTTCAGTCCTAGGCACGGGCGGGATTTTTCGGACCAAGAGTTTTGTGAGTCATGAGGGCCAGGGTCTTCGTCTCATGTATGTCTGGTCACGAGGTGTGTCGTGCGATGTGTACTGTGTTACGAGCATCCGTGCCCTGCTTGAAGAAGCGACATTGGTCAACTCTCGAGTGATAGCGGTGTCAAAGAGAAGCTTAGCTTTCCCCAGAAGGGGTCTCCCACACTTCCTACAGTTTTCCCAAATGACCCATGGGACTCCCATGGGTGACCCATTGCCCATGGGCACCCCGTTAGGCCCATGGGCAGCCCAATTGGTGACCCATGGGCATGCTCATGCCGATGAGCATGAGCATGCCCATGGGCGGCCAATGAGAGCCCTTCAACCGAACCAGTGTACTCCTAAACAATATATTATCTGCTTAGGAACGGGCACTATAGCGGTTAACAACCCTAACTCTAACCCCAACCCAAACCCCAAGCCCGCATGATACGTGCTAGGTTAGCGCTGGTGGCTAAGTCCTACGTTGATGTGAAGGTGGCTAAGTTCTAGGTTGATATGCTGGTGGCGAAGTTCTAGGTTGAAATGCCCACGGTGGGCACTTCATCCGCCGCCCATGGGCACTTCCTGGGCGGCCCATAGGTGATCCCATGGGTGTCCCATGGGCGGTTTAGCAATACTATCAGTAGGGTGGGAGATTTGGAGGGTATGGTCTCCGGTATTTATAAGACGCGTTGTGCTGTGTATGCTTGGTGATATATTTTCTCTGGCCTGCGCGTTCTTGCATCGTTGTCCGTTCGAGTGACCTCAACAACGGTCTTCTGGACCACCGAAAAGTTTTGCGATTTTTTCACCCCGAAGTGCTTCAGGGACGCGATCAAACCGGCCGGGGAGTCATGTACGTCAGGGTGGGTTGGGCGCTGAGTCCCAAGAACCAATAGTCTAAGTTGTGGCATATGGTGTTGTTGATGTTTTTGTCGAAGGGGAGGGTTCTGCGGCGTGCAGGCGATGAAAACGGCACCCGGTGCGGCGGCACGCTGATTCCTTCTTCCATTGGTTGGCTGCACTTATAGGAAGCTCTTCATTGTGTTTCCCCTTGCCCCCTTTTTCCGCGCAACGAGCGTCCACGCGCTTGAAGATTGGTGCCTTGGGTTTGGAAGGGTGTTGTCGAAATGCTTGACGACTTTTCGGGGGGCTGCCACCATGATCGTCCAGAGTGAAGCACGGTCATCCCTCCCCCAGTTAGGACAACTTTTTTATCACAAGCATGGTGGCTCGCAGAATGTACAACATAAGGGAGGGTATCAACCTTGAGGACTCTTACTCGGCTTACAAGGGACACCTGGTCAATCGAATGACCATGTGTATCCTTACGGCGACTGTGTCTCGAACGGGAGAATAGACTATATCTATGCATACGGAGTACGAACGTGAGGGTTCCTGTTCGAAGCCGAGCTACATGACCCAGAATATGGGTACAATAGTACCAGCAATGCATTTTCGTGTCATGTCAGTTTGTGGATGCCCCAATCCCCCTCTTCGATTGCGTGCCGACTACGACGGACGGATCCATCGTGTTAGTACGATTCGCCCGATGACAGCAGCGGCGGGATTGACTCATCGAGTCGCGATCTCGCAGTTGGTTTTGTCTCTGACAGGTGGGATCCTTGCCGCGATTATCAGAATCAATCAGAGGGCAAGAGCGCCGCAGAAGGAAGGCGGACAAAAAAGAATCCTGCGTGCGACCCCGGCCCTATTGCGTAGAGTTTGTACCAAGAGGTGTGAGTACCGACGTCCAGAATACTGTACTTGGGATGATATTGTTCACAAAAAAAATATTACGCTATCAAAACCTGGACAGAGGGTGGTAGACCCCCCCCCCCCCGTCCTGGCGAAAGGCATCTTAAGGCCCACAGAATAGCGATATTCGTTGACCGTTCCTCGTAGGTTGCTACTATTTGATGAGATGCCGCGATGAAATATGAATATAATCAAACCGGTCTGTCTGCGTAGGACTAACATTCTGGATGGATGTGGTGCAAGGTTTCTAGTCGCGAGCACACGACGGTGCGAAAACGCCCCGCGCGTGTTCCTGAGAGGGGTATTGTACGGAGTTGGCCGTGGGTCCTTGTCTCTTCTTGTATATATCTGCGTGCTGCAGTAGCGCAATGGTTGTGGGCACGCATGCGAGTACAGGGAAAGCCACGTGCCGTACTCAGCCGTTTTAATAACCAGAATGATACGAGTACAACCTACTTGGTGTCGAACCGCAAAGAACCGTGCATCGATACGGGACACGTGGATCCAGACCAGGCAACACCTGCAGCGGCGTGGAGAACAGTACCTAAACTACCCCCAGTCCGCCACGTGAAAAAAAGTACATAAAAGGTACGGCCGTGGGTATCGCCTAGGTTCGGGCTTTCACGTTTTCGACGACCCGCCATACACTACCGCCCGCCCCGGTGGTCTAGTGGGTAGCCTCTCAGCCTGCTAAGGGCCAGGTCATGGGTTTGAGTCCCGACATGTGAGTTTTTTCTCGCTAATTAAATCCTGGTCTCCGTTGGAAGCGACGCGCTGCAAAGCTCGTTGTTAGTAAGCTTGATCAACTTCATAAGTCGCGAGGGAAGGGATTGCTGTACCCTTCTCGCGATAAAAACATCTCAGGCAGGAACCGCAGGAGGGGGTCCAACACCCCCCTCCCATGCNGGTGGTCTAGTGGGTAGCCTCTCAGCCTGCTAAGGGCCAGGTCATGGGTTTGAGTCCCGACATGTGAGTTTTTTCTCGCTAATTAAATCCTGGTCTCCGTTGGAAGCGACGCGCTGCAAAGCTCGTTGTTAGTAAGCTTGATCAACTTCATAAGTCGCGAGGGAAGGGATTGCTGTACCCTTCTCGCGATAAAAACATCTCAGGCAGGAACCGCAGGAGGGGGTCCAACACCCCCCTCCCATGCGACCCCAGTTGGGTCGTCTAGCTGGTAGAAGTGGAGGATAGGGGCCAGAGGGGCAGACAACAGAGTCCAATGATGGGAGAAAAACAAACAACAAAACAAAAACAACACTACCACCGTACACTGTTACCATTAGACTGCAAACAGGCAACCAGCCACGAAGAGCTTTCCACCATCTTCATCTTCCTGTTTGGCCGAAATTACAAATCAACATTATCCCACCGCCGCTTCCCTTTTACTCTCAAAACATCAAAGGACATGCAACGTGAAAGTCGACGGCCGAAAAAGTGTCACCCGCACGACCATAACTACTCTACCCCCCCCTCGCCTATCTGACCTACCGGCAGCCACTGGTACTTTATACACGAATACCATCAAGCAACTTGTCCTCCGGAGGAGGCGTGTTTACTGAGGAGTCCTGCCTTGATCGCCCGTAGAAAACATGTACACCTGTCCCGCCAACATGCCAAAACTACATTGGTCTGACAAGACCGTAGATCTACCAGGAAAACAAGTACCAAATCGAGCAACGACCTTGTCAACCAACATCACCTTGACGATCGAGACCGAACTCTTGCCAGAATTCGGGCCCGAAGAAATAGTATCAGGGAACAATAACAAGAACCATTGGTTCATGGCGAATGTTTAGCTGATATGCTCCATCAGAGGAACACTCCAGGAAGTACATGGAACTACAACTGTGACTGACATGTATCCTACAGGGTCGTTGAAAGGTACATGGAATGTCGGTAGAGGCTTGCGCAACGGCACTGGAACAGCCTCTCACAAATGAGGTCAACAGATAACGAAGACACACAAGATATGGGGAAATTGCAAACAAACAAAAAAAAGAAACTTGTCGTTCCCGTATGTAACAGCCGGAAGGGGGGGGGGGGCACATAGGGCAGATTCTTCACTAGTGGATGTACCCCCCCTTCGGCTGCTCATGAGATGGACCAGGCAGGACACTCAGACCGACCTCGCCAAAACTGACCGTAAACGCGTTGGTGGTGGTTCGCGAATAACACCCCGCCCGCCCCCACCGTCAACACCGACCGCGAGACAATATTGTGACTGTCGGGAGTCCGGAGGAGGCAGCAAGGATTGACTGCGCCAGGTTCAGCCTCAGCTTAGCCCCGGCTAGGCTTCAATCGCGTGCTCCGTCTTGCACTCAAAGATGGTGCGTAGATCGGTCATCCTCGCCTTGCGGACCTCTTCCGGCTTGAGCTGGACGTCGAAGAGGGCGTTGAATTTCATACCGGCCGTCATCACGCCGCAGTGGTGGAAGGAACGATCGTGACGGTAGTAATGTGGATTCACGGTCATCACACGGTCCATTGGGTGGGTTTCATTTGGGTAACGCCGGGTTATCCGCGTGATTGAGAGCGGTTCGAGGGCAAAGGAGGAAGGACTACACTGACAGACAGCAGCGTTGAGGACCGCGGGGTGGGGGGAGGGTAGACGTAGACACTGGAGAATGGGAGGTGGTCAGAGACAGATGAAGCGGAGGAGGTGGAGGGCGGAAACCAGTGCCTATCCTATCCTATCCTATCCTATCCTGCCCCTTTGGTGCAGACAGAAGGCCCAAAACACGGACAGAAACATGCCCGAAGAAACTTTGGGGAAAAAAATCCAAGAGCACGGCGGGGTCAACTCTTCCTGATCCCGCCCTGACACCACATCGTCGGCGTGCTCCCCGTTCCAAGACCACCCTCCCGCTCAGAACGCGCGTTTCCAAGAACGCCACCGGTTCCGACAAAAACCCAACCAAGACCCCCGCTTAAGCACAGTAGGAAGGAACGATTGACCATCGGTGATCGGTCCTGAGGGAACCATACTCAATTCTCTCGGCCTACCCGCTACCGCATGCAAAACATGAGTGTACCCCCCCCCCCCCCCCCCCCCCCCCCCCCCCCCCCCCNAACATGAGTGTCCCCCCCCCCCCCCCCCGCTTTCCCGCCCAGGCATGGTCCTAGGGGGGGCAATTCTCCTCACCTTCCGCAGAGCCCCCTTCCCGAGGGCTTCCTTGGCCTCCTGAATCTCCAGGATGCGGTCTTCCACCGAGTCTGCTGAGACCATCCTCACCACGCGGACGGGCTTGGTCTGGCCGATGCGGTGCACGCGGTCCATGGCCTGGCTCTCCACGCTGGCGTTCCACCACGCTGAAAACCGGGAAAAGAAGCGGATCCACTCGTCAGCCTTGGCAGGCATAATTGTAAAAAACATGAAGAGTGCTTGCAGCAGCAACAGGGTCTGGCAAAATGGGCAGAAAGGGGTGAAAAATACTCCCGTCGACCAAGAAACTGCTAAGTTTCAGCACGTTGCGCGACGGGAGTTGGGAGCTAGCCGCCGAACGGACTGCAGCTTGTCCCCAAATCGACAAAGGCCTTTATTTAATCCATCCATCCTACTTTCGAAAATCTCTTTTGCGGATGTACTCTACGATCTCCACGTGGCAAGCCCGTGCCTCAGTGCGCGCCCGTGAATTCTCTCTGTTGTGCACGCATTGTATGTATAGTAAGGTATTTTTACGTATCGCTTGTGAGGTGAGGTGGGTGACCCCGGTTGATGCATACCTGCGTCAAACACATACACCGAGAGATGTGTAGACTGGCGCCAGAACAAATAAGAACGAACACCACACACACAACGGCTGAAAAACAACAGGACAGGAAAAAGAACGCTCAGCTGCTCTATCAGGTTCGGGACACACTCACGATCTGCGATGAAGCAGTGGTTGGCTGAGGTGAGGTTGATTCCGGTGCCCGCCGCCATCAGGCTTGCCAGCATGACCTTGGAGTCGTCAAAAGTTGGACACGGGTTTCCCAAGAGAGAAGGGGGGAGGGAGGAGGGGTTAGCAGAATCACCATCAAACTCGTGTCGCGGGCAGCTTCTTAAGACCAGCCGTGAACAACCAGCCAGTTTGATTTGGTAGCCGGTAGATGATGGCGTACTTGGATGAAGGCGGTACGGCGTGTTGCCGGGGTCACACCCTAGTGCGGGCGTTATGAATGTGCGTCACCACGCCCCTCCTTGTGGCTGTGATGAAAGAACACTTCACACACAACCGACTCAATCGCCATCGAATCACCACACCCATGTCCCCCCCCCATACGCTCACCTCTGCACCGTCGCCCCCCTTGACCGCGAAGCGCTTCAGCTCCGCCTGGCGCTGCTTGTTGGTCATGCTTCCGTCAAGGCGAGCGAGCCGGAAGCCGTCAGCCAAAAGGAAGGGCTTCGATGACGGCACCCATGGGGGCAGCAGAGCGGGCAAATGGTGTTGCGGAAAAGCGTCAGCCTCGATCGATGCACGACCCCGCAAAAAGCAGATGCGACATAGCCAACTTGGTGATGGGGGGAGAGCGCTATCGCTGCTGCCTTCGCCTTCGACAACGTCATGATCTCAAACCTCTAAATAGTGCCCTCACTCTACACGGGTTGCTTCCCAACTTTGATAAAATGAATCCCCGTGGTCGTACAGTAGGCCAGTACCCAAGGGAAGGGAACGATTCCAGAAAACCTACAAAGAGTCTCTCTGCACAGATAAAACCTCGCTGCCGTTGTCGCGAGCGAGCAACATCTTCCAAGCACCAACGGCGAAAGGCGGCTCGCTCTACCTCCCAAGACCTGAACCGACATGTTCTAGCGTCCACCAACCTCCGAACAAATCGAGCAAATACAGCAGCACCACAAAGTACAACCCCCGATATGAAGCATGACGTCGATGCACACCTGGATTACGTCGAGGAAAGAGGTGAACTGAGAGAAGACGACGGCCTTATCACCGTTGCCTGAGAGACGTAGCTCGTGGAGGCTTTTGTTGGTCGGTGCCGGACGAAGAAGCAGAAAAAAAAAACACGCACATACACGGGGCAGGCGCAAAAGCGATTGGATCCGTTTGGCTCCGATGCAAGGCAGAGATTTGATGGAAGTCTGGCTACGACTCAGCAGACTACACGATGCATACATCGCGGGCGGAGATATTCGACGTATCGCAGGCAGATGAGCAAGAGGCGAACATGTAGACGAAAAAAAAAAAAAAACGGACTAGTTGAGCAAGAGAGCGACACAACATCGAAGTGCTGTGCTGAGACCCGCTCTTCCGAACAATTTGAAGTGGTACGCAACAACGCACGCACACGGAGTAACGTGTTTGTTCGCGCTTTTCGCTTTTATCCCGCCATACTCGTGAGATTGGCATCTTGTCATTGGTACGTCGGAGAGCGCGGAGGATGCCAACCACAACGACACACACACACACGCTGCCGGAAGAACCCGTCCCAATTGATAAGAAAGTGTTCGTGTTTGTTATCCCTCTACAAGACCGACGTACTTCCATTTGTCAGCCGGATAGCGCGGCCAACCAAAAGAATTACACACATGCGCCAGACCAGACTAGTCTAGTCGCGCAACACGCCACAGAACCACCCCCCCCCCCCCCCCCC